ACCAGCTCAGGGATTGCCGGGCGCTGTAGCACAGGGGGAAGCAACACTAATGCACAGCTTTGTACGTCAAACCAGAACCCTGACGAGCACCACAGGACAAACTCAATTTGTGCTGGAGTGAGTTTTGAGCATAAGAAATGCAAAAAAAAAAAAAAAAAAAAAAAGACTTCTGAAATACTTGAATTTTGGAAACAGTGACTGGAACTGCACACTGTCAGTGTGTGCAGAGGTGCACGGGAAGGGAAGGTGACTGATGAGATCTGCTTTTGAAAGCAAAGGTTCCAGCTTGAAAAGAGCCTCAGATTGTAAATCTCATTAACCTTAAATAGAGAAAACACTTAAACAGATGAAGCAGGGCAGTGTGTCTCAGAGAGGAGTGCCAGCCTGGATCATCAGAGGTGTCAGGATTGAACTCAAAATTCTTTTTGTCAGGCACTGCTAATTAAGTAAGGAGCTCAGGTTGATTGAGAGATCAGTATAGGATCTGGAGCTGACAAACAGCCTGGCAGTGCCTCTTGGTCTGTGAGTTTTAGCATTGGGCTCACACGCGACCATCTGGAGTTGTGCCAGCAGAAACCCTCACTGGAATTACAGTTATTGCAAATCAAAAGTATAGTTTTGCAGGGATTATCTCACCTGTGAGACACAAGTTATGTTTGCACAGTGTTGGTCTTAGGTGAAGTTGTTATTATACCAGGAGGACTTTGCTGGTAGGTATACTGGTGTGCCTTTGTCGTTAAGTGTACCTAACACAGGCCTGGCTCTGCGGTGTAATCACTCTGTTTATCACTATAATCCTGAGTGCAGATCTCCACCTGTTACCTGGACTATTTACACTAAGGTACAGCAGGGAATGGTGGCCATCATTGGAAGAGAAGTGAAGGCGGGGAGGAAGCGTCTGGTGCACAACAGGATTGGGAAAGCTCTTGCTCTCCCCTTCTGCAAACTGCCCATCTCAGGTGCCTCCACACAACATGGGTGGGAGAGAGAAGGAATGAGAAGGTGTTGTGCTGCCACAGGCTCTGACCCTGTTGGACACGGTGAGGCAGCTCATGCCACCAGATGGGCTGGGAAGGTGAGGAGAAGGGGTCGTGCTCCACATGAAGGAGTGCCTGGAGCTTTACCTTGGGATGGGGAGTGAGCCAGTTGGGAGCTAATGGGCAAAGGATCCAAGGAGAGACCGACATGGGTAAAGCTGGGAAGATTTTAGCTTCAAGTGAAACAATGAGCAGCAGGAAGAGAGCGCTGACTCTTAGCAATTTAGAGGTGGCCAAGTCTAAATGGAGTTTCGTGGGACTGTAAAAGGACAGTGGCCTTACTACTGGCAGGGCTATGGGACTTGACAAGGTGAAACACTGGGAGAAAAGAGGGCGAGAGGGTATCAGAAGAAAACTGTCCAAAAAAATCCCTGACAGATTCATTGCAGGAAGTGTATCTTCATTACTTGGCCGCTCTTAAGCAGAAATCTGCACTTCTCCACCTCAGGTTCAGGGTTTCACCACCCTCACGGGAAAGAATTTCTTCCTCACATCTCATCTAAATCTCTCCTCTTTCAGTTTAAAACTGGCCCCTCTCCTCCTAGGGCTCCCCTCCCTGATCCAGAGTCCCTCCCCAGCTTTCCTGGAGCCCCTTGAGGGACTGCAAGGGGCCCCAAGGTCTTCCCAGAGCCTTCTCTTCTCCAGGCTGAACCCCCCAACTCTCTCAGCCCCCCCTCCCAGCAGAGGGGCTCCAGCCCTCCCAGCATCTCCGGGGCCTCCTCTGGCCCCGCTCCAACAGCTCCATGTCCTTCTGCTGGTGGTGGCCCCAGAGCTGGAGGCAGCACTGGGGGGTGTCTCCCCAGAGCGGAGCAGAGGGGCAGAATCCCCCCCTCACCCTGCTGGCCACGGGGCTGGGGATGCAGCCCAGGGGTGGGGGGTTTCTGGGCTGCCAGCGCATGTTACCAGGGTGTGTGGAGCTTCTCATCCTCCAACACCCCCAAGTCCTTTTCCTCAGGGCTGCTCTCCAGCAATTCTTCGCCCAGCCTGGATTGGTTCTGGGGTTTCCCCTGACCCATGTGTGGGACCTTGCACTTGGTCTGGTTGAACTTCATGAGGTTGGCACAGGACCACATCTCCAGCCTTTTCAGGTCCCTCTGGATGGCATCCCTTCCCTCCAGCGTGTCAAACAGCATTGGCTGTTCTCTCTGGTGTTTAAATAAGACCACGTAACTCCAACCCTCCAGGGCTGGACTGCTGAATTTGGCACGCAGGACATCGTCTCTGTTTTTGTGAATTCTCTCGTGAACTCTTCCTCTGCAGAATCCCATGCTGGGAGGATTGTTTTTTATCTGTTCCTTATAAACTCTACCTGGGCTGAGTGTATTCAGCAGCTGGATTTGGCAGCTTGGAAGGTCTCCTGAAAAAAATTCAAGATAGGACAGGGTTTTGGCTTCTGGTGTTGGCAGATGAGGGACGTGGAGCCCAGGGTTTCTCTCCAGCTGTTTATGTCTCTCCAGCTGTTTATGCTCCTGAGCTCTATTCACTTTTTTGCCTTGAATATTTTCTTCTTGAGGACCCAGCTCCCCTGGTTTGCACTGGGCCAAATATTTCCTCTGGCCAAAGCCTTGGTCCTGGGAGGGCAGAGCGTTGTTCTCCTTGAAGGTGGCATCAGTGTCTCACCGTGTGGCAGGGCTGGTGTCACCCCGTCAGGACTTGTGCTGGCTTGAATTCTGCTCTTCTGATTCAGCAAAACAAATACACTGAAACCCTCAGCTGCACAATGTTTTGATGAACTCTGTATGGCCTTCCTTTTTCTGGGCTATTCTTTCATATTTTAAATTTCTTTACATGTATTTAAAAATGAGGGTGGTTTGATTGCTTAAGTTACTAGTAAGTCACAAAGCTCTGGTTCCTTGACCACTCTGGTACCAAGCATTGCAAATTAAAAATCACTGTTATAATGTTCCTTACAGATTGTTTGAGTTAAATATGATGTGACCAGCCAGTACGGTGTTACTTGGTTAAATATTCAGATGATTCATGTTTCCTTTCTGGCACCAATTGTGAAAATGCTGTAAGTTTTTTTGATTGAAAAAAAAGTGGTTGTTGAATATAACGGCTGCTTTATGAAAGCAACTACTAGAGAATATTGAGAATTATTTAAATTAAAAGCAAAGCTAAAATATTATGTATTTTTAAAAAAAGGCAGGGAAAATAGGGAAAATTACCCAAATAAGTATAAAGTAGATGGTCTGCATTTGATACCTGACAGAATGGTTCTTTTTTTTTCAGTTTTTGGTTGAAGAGCTAGTTGTAAGAATGATTTCATAATACAGCTAATTTCAGCCCATCTAATTGTGTGGAAATAGGTCTTGACGAGCAAACTTCATATTTTGCGATGAGGCTGGAGGTCCAGTGGATAAAAGTCACTGGTGTACTTTTATCTACCGTAATATCTTTGATTTTTTCAGTCAGTACATCTTAATTAATGATATTACTACTAAAAATGAATAGAGGCCATATAAAATAAATTATATTTGACAGTAATCTCATCCTCTTTTGGAGAGGTATCGAACAGGGACCCAGCAGGAGTGTACTAGGACATCAATATTATTTCATAATCTTCCCATCACAGTATTTATTAGCACAAACTTTAAAGTTTCTTTGATAAAGTCTCTGTAATTATGCTGAAGACAGAAGATGTGTTGTTTTTCCAGAAGAATGAAGATGGCTGTTGAACTGGCACAGGCAAACGTGCGTTTTAAGGTGACCAAATCTGTGGTTTGTACATCTGGGGGAAATAAACCCCAACAAGTCCTAGTTACTGCGGGGGGGATTGTATCCTTCAAAGCTGTAGTTTGAAGAAAAGAAAAAGTCAGGGAAAGTCTGGGGAGTAACAAGCTGAATGTGACCGTTGTGTGATGCTGTGGTAAAAGGGATAATTCGGTGGTAATGAAAAATGCCAGTCAGCATGGTTTCCTGGAAATTATGTCTCTCCCAGATAAACATAATGTTGTTTCGTGCCTGAGTTTACTTGAGTTGTGTCTATAAATATGTACGAGAAGAGAAGATTTCTTATACCAGAGGGCTTTTTATTTCATAGGCAAAGATTTAATGAGATTTGCTGCCTGGAAGACAAAACAAGCCTGATCAAACTAGGAAAAAATGAAGTTACTGTCACCACTTGAAGACTTTACGTGAGATATCTCAGCGAGATGTGCTAATTTGATCAGATACCTTTTGTGTAACCTTGGAAGAAATGGGTAAAAATGATGTAGTCTGTCCCGTGCAGGAGGGTCGCGGCAGCTTTGACTCCTTTCCGCTTCAAAAATCATCCAATTTTGCAATTCCAAGGCGAACTGTGTGCTGTGCAGAACAGTGCACTCCCTCGGTCCTGTAAATAGGGGGGGGCTTCGTGCGGTGTGGGGTGGCTTTATTTCCCGTGGTCCTGGTGTGATGGAGAACGGAGAATTGACTGTAGAGTCTCCAACTCTGGGTTCGGTGCAGAACCCGGCGTTGCTGGAGGAGCTTGTTATCAGACAGGTCACCCCGGCAGGAGGGTGGGCGTTCACAAGCCTGGAGTTCCATGTCCTGCTGGGGTGGGGGGTCATTTACCTTCCAAGTTCCTGACAATATTCAGAATAAGTTCTGAGTTTGCATAATGATCGCACGTGCAGAATCTGTTTGTTTCTAGAAGTGTGTGTTATTTTTCCCAGCATGGTGTCTGAGTTTGGTAAATGATATATTTTGTAACTCTTATGATATGTAGGGCCCTGTGTATGTACCGTTCTGATTAGAAGGTGCAATAATAGGTGTTTTTAAATGTGACTGGAAAGTATATTTTAAATACACCAGGAAGCAATCCTAAAATATAATAAATGTCAATCTTAGGATGCAGTTCACTTCAGAATACGTTCACTTTCCCTTCTCACAATTGATCTGTTGCAGGTCCTTTTTCTTGGGATTAAAAAAAAAAAGGCTTTTATTTATGCCCTGACCTATTTTGTCCTTTTCTTTCCCTAGCTACCCAGTGGGAGACTCTTCCATGCTGCAGCTGTTATCTCAGATGCTATGTACATCTTTGGTGGCACAGTGGACAATAATATTAGAAGTGGAGAAATGTACCGGTTCCAGGTAATTCCCTGATAAACACCCTCACACATCCCCACCAGTTCTGCCTGAATCCTTCTGGCTTTGGCAGAGTTTCTGGTTTTGCTCATCGTGAGCCTGATGTGATGGCTTTTGTTTCACAGCCTTCCTGCAGACAGCCCTTGCATTTCAGGTTCAGCTGCCACAGGTTAATGTATATCTTTAAAATCTCTTCAGAAATGTTATCTGGACAGACACTGTGGTAAGGCCAAGCTCTCCAGTGCCTTCTGAAGTCCTAACAGAGATCATTACAAGTTATTTTGACAAATTATTGCTAAGTGTATCAGGCTGGATTTACCAGGATGTTAAACTGAAAACTGACTGTTCCTCTTCCTGAAGGGTCAGGTTCAGGGGTTCCTGAGTCAGAGCATTTTATCTTCATGCAGCACTCTCACCCCCACCACCCAGTAACTATGGGAATTTTAAATTGGAAATTTCAAGTTACTTGCACCGGGTCAAATCCTCCCTACACTCAACTTTATTTTTATTGTGTGGGACCCTCAGACACGTCCTGGCCACCAACTCCCGATATCTGCAAGTTGCCATGAGACACAATTCTCCCGTGTTACCCCGTGTTACTTTCCATTCCCCTCACCACAGAGGCAGCCCTGGCACCTGTGTGGTTTGCTTGTTATTTTCTACTTTATATACTACATTGAGGCCAAGTTAATAAGAAAATCCAGGGATAGTATATGTAACTACGGTACTTTTGGATACAGCCATTTGGAATGAATTCTCTCTTCTGTGGGGTTTTATTTTTTTAGTTTTCTTGTTACCCTAAATGCACTCTACATGAAGATTATGGACGGCTGTGGGAAAACAGGCAGTTCAGTGACTTGGAGTTTGTTTTGGGAGAGGTGAGTAGAACTTATTGAAAAGGTGCCAGCGGGGGTGTTACTGACCATGGAGCACGTTCTACTGGGAAAAAGCAAATTGTACGATTACTAAGTTACACTAATCCAGACAAATTTCTAAAGCTGCAAAGGAGAAGAAACTTTTACACTGAGAAGGCCTGTGGGTCACTGAAACATAACATGAATTTATCAGAGCACATTATATATCGTTCCAATATGAAAAGGATACTAAGAGTGCTGTACTCCGAGGTCCCAACTGTCCTCTAGAAGGAGTGGGTCAGGGTTTGCAGATCCATGTATCATTTCAGGAACCATTTTTAATTACAGAAATAAAGTAGAATGAGAAAAAGCAGCACAGAGGAATAAGTTTCTAGTAATGAAAACAATTGTAAAATTTTAAAAAGAACATGTTTTCTGAAGAAAAACATGAAAAATTTGAACTTACTTGCATTCCTGTTGCAAAAAAAAATAATTATAAAACACTTTGCAGAGGTCAGATAACAGATCCTCAACAACAGATGAAGCAGATTATGAAGAACAATAGCAAAAAACCATACTGTTGTTTGGAAAAGGGAAAGCTGAAAATCAGATGCAATGCTAAGAAGCAGTATCTGTGATACTGAACCTGTGCAACAGCTTCCGCTCAGTGAATGTAACAAAAGCTCCCTCCAAATGGTGCTTGCTGTTGACTTTTAGGGAAAGTAGGTGTAGAATTTCATCTGGATGTGCAGAGCAGATGCAAGGTTGCCTTTGATTCTAACTTAAACTAAATGTGTAGTAACCTGGAGTTCAGCCATCTGCCATCACCGTGTGCTTTGGGAATAAAAGTTGAGTATGTGTTACTGCTTTGCCTTTGACAGAAGGAGGAACGAGTGCGAGGGCACACCGCGATCGTTACAGCTCGCTGCAAGTGGCTGAAAAAGAAAATCATACAGGCAAGGGAGAGGTTGAAACAGGTGAGTATTTTAGAAAAGTAATCTTGTGGCAAAATAGTGTTTATTCTGCCCAATTTTGGGAATAAGGTTGTCAGGGAAAAAGTTATTATCTGCTGAGTCAGATGTAGGACTGGAGCAGCATCTGGTGCTAAGGTGCTCTTGAGCAAGTAAAATAAAGAGGATAATTAGTATTAACATTGGCAGGATGTGTATTGGGCCAGACGAGGAGCGTAAGGTGGAGTAGCCAAAGTTAATCCAGTTTTCTGGATTTGATGGTGCGATTCTTGGGAGCTCTTGTAGCTGTCTAAATTTTAATCTTGTGGAATATCCCAAGGGAGGAGTGTGTACCCTTCACTCTGGGGAAGGTAAAAGCCCTGTGACATCAGGGATGGCCTGCAAGATGAGGCAGATGAGGAGGAAGGTGGTGTTAAGGTTTTAAGGCTGGCTCTGTTAGTATTTCCTGATTGTGTTCCAGAGTTGAAGGTCTGGTGCTTATGGTTCATTGTCTGTTAATTTTAACTACTTACAGCTTTTCAGCAGCAAACATTTTATTGATCTTGAGGAAGTGGTAGCACACAACCTGCAGTAGGACACATGGATACTGTGTGAGCCGATGCAGGCAGGACACAGGAACAACCAGGAGACTGCAAATAAAGGAACAGAACAAGTTTAATCTCGATACCTCACAACTCGGGGAGTCTCCAAAGCAGCACCTGGGTGGAGACACACAAGCAGGGAACACAGGGACCGCAAAGCCAGGCAGAGTCCTTGTCAGTCAGAGTCCTTATTAGCCAGAGTCCTTAGCAGCCAGAGTGTGCAGGAGCGGGAACAAAGAGGGGCCTACCTCGCTGCTTAGCTGGTTTTTCAAGAGTTCCAGCAGGCATAGTCCTCCCCCTTGTGCTTTGATCTTCTCCAACAACAGGGCGGGAACCTCAAGCGGCGAGGTAAGGTGTCCCTGAGTCCATCACAGGCGTAAGTTATCTCAGTGTGGATGTTCTGCTCACAGACTCGAGACCAGCAATTAGCATGACAGATGTGTTTTCCAGCCCCAGGTGCGAGTCACTTGAGCGTATGTACGATCCTCCTCGCCAATCTTCCGTTACTTTCCTGCAGATACCTCATTGCACCTTGGTTAATTGCTTTGCCACCCTACAGCCCTCCATCTTCACTGGAAAAGGCTGTAGAGAAAGGCTGTCAAAGTGGAATTTGAAAGTAAAAAGTGGCTAAAAATACTTCTGTGCAGCACTTTGAGCTCTGACTTTGCAAGGCTGGGTCTGTGGAACCTGCGTCTTCCTTCTCCAGGGAGAGATGCTGTTCCTGCTGAGGGCAGAAATGTGAGCTCAGTGGAATTCATTCCTCCTGATTTCTGAGGTCCTGCTTTTGAGCTGTATCCAGGAGCTCACATTTTTTCTGATCCATGTTTGTCACAGGATATGGAGCAGTAAGTCTAACACATATGAACTCCTTGTTATCTTGAAGATAATCTTGAAGATAATCTTGAAGATAAAGAGATCTTGGGTTTTGAAGACTGTGCAGTCATGAGAAGGATCCTTTTTCTGGTTTGACGGTAATGCGTGTGAGTTGACACAGCCTTGATGCCATGTCTGACTGTTTTTGTCTGTCTCATTAGAAATCAAAGCAAGATATTGAAGATGAGGGACATGTGACATGTCAGAAGGATGGGATTGGTGGGAATGTCAAGTTGTGCCGCCTGCAGCCGCTGCTGGAAGTGCCCATAAGAGAGGCTGAGGCTCAGCCCTTCGAGGTGCTCATGCAGTTTCTGTATACGGATAAAATAAAATACCCTCGCAAAGGTAGGACAGCAGGATAAAAAAAAATACTAGCAACTGGGGAGCAAACGTTTATTTTGATACAAAGCAGGATTGAGCATTTGCAGATGATCAGTCCTGCTCTAAGCTCTTAATTACTTACCTGAGATGAAAAAACAAGCAGATTTCTATCAAAGCATACTAACAGTGCTTTGTTTTTTCCTATTCTTTCCAAACATCAAGGAGAAGCAGGTTCTTGATCTTTCCAAAAGGTGTAAAAAAAATACATATAGTATTTTGAGCATTGCAGCAGCCTGCCTGGAAGCACCATGTATCCCGAGTTGGCTTATTTCCTTTTTCTGGTATTGTTTTGATCCGTTGCAAACTGAGCCCACACTGAAAGGCAGAGCAAGCCAGTGTTTATCATTTCCTCAAAATGCCAATCCAAAGGAATGCCTCAAGAAAGGAGAAATCCATTTCATGCATTCATTGAAAATCCTGAGTTAAAACCACTTGCTGTCTGGGAGGCAGTAGCCAGAGATCCCTGGGCTCCCACACAGCGAGTCTCACTCAGGGCTGGTGTAAGAGTGACAGGGTCTGCTGGGCTGGGGGGTCAGACCTGATTCCTGGGGAGCTCCAGCTGTGGGGGCTGGGAAGGCTGCAGCCCCTGGTGAAGTGAGGGGCATCTGTCCTGATGCTGGAAGCTTGGCTTCAGTTTCAGTCCTGGATCTTTCCTGTCTGTAAAAGGTAATTCTCAGAAAAAGAATGATTTGAATGCAGTTGTCCCAAGGCTTTCCCTGTGAGGTGGCCTGTTTGGAGAGCAAGCCTAATTAATGGGGATGAGAGAACCTTCTCGTTAGTGTCTGTGACATTGCCAGATTGTCTGCTGTCAGCAGGTGCACTGATCCTCAGCATGCTCACTGCAGGGCAGGATCACACCACGGAAAGAGTTATCATACTGAGCTCTTCCCTTTGTTACAGGCTTCCCAGGCAGCCTCTTACCCTTCCCCAGCCCATCAAACCTTCTCCCTGGTGCTTACCTTTCTGCTGGGATCCTCCAAGGGCCCTGTCCTGACCATCTGTATTCCTGGTTGCTCCTCTGGGTTCAGAGAGCAGCACCCTGGGGATCCCTCCGGAGCTGAGCTAACAGAATTGGGCACGCTCATCAAATGGGATTTTCCAGTTAGACACAGGGAAGGCACGTGACATGCAGGAAGGCTTTTCTCCATCAAAAAGTAGTTACAGCAGATGGCCAGAGATCTCCTGTGAGGAAAGCAAAGGCTGTGGAGGATTATTCCTTGAGTTGGTGTCCCAGTAGCCCCAGTAGCAGTGGCCTGCGAGGGTCCCTCTCTGCTGGACCAGGCTCAGATCTGAACACACACAGCAAAGTGCCTTGATAAGGGTCAGTCAAACTCAGGGACCTGGCTGCGAATGCTGCATGAGGCCCAGGGACTTCAGCAGAGCTGGAGCAGCTCTGAGCACTTTGGGAAGCTGGGCTGCTGGCTTCAGAGCTTGTTGGTGTTTTTAGAGACTTTGCTTTGTTTTGAGGATTTTAAAAAATTGTGATCCAGATTGCCAAAAATCTTTGTCCAAAAAAATCTTTTGGTGTGTCTCTCTCATGCCTCGGTTTTGAAACTCCCTTTTTAATATCAATTCATGTTTTGTCTAACCATCAGTGGAGGTTTTTTCTCCATAAAAATACTCCAGTCATTGCCCATTCTACCATTCTGAATGCTCAGGTTGATGTAAAAAGAAATATTTTGAGAAAGGTTCCTCTTTTTGTTCTGTGAGCTTTCCAGCATTTTCATCACTTGTAATTTCAGGTCATGTGCAGGATGTGTTGCTTATTATGGACGTGTACAAACTAGCCTTAAACTTCAAGCTCTCTCGACTGGAACAGCTCTGCCTCCAATATATCGAAGCATCCGTAGATCTGCAGAATGTGCTCATTGTGTGTGAAAATGCTAACAAGCTTCAGCTGGATCAGCTAAAGGTAATCACATTTTGCATACAAAGTAACTGATAAGAAATTAAAAAAAAATAAAATTTATGTAATTAATGTTCTGCAAAAGCTACCAGCTTTTGAAATTTCAGTTCTTTCCTATAATTATAGTTGCTTGAGTAAATATTAGTGTGGATTGTCCTGCAGTTGCTTGTGAATATTATGTAGGGTTTTTTCACTAAGCATTTGATATTTTTGCGTATCTGCCCTGTAGGATGTGAAGGGCAGAGTGACTTTGGCTTTTCAGCAATTCACTCTCACTGCAGCAAGATGCATTTTCTGGTCCCACCATTTTATACACAGACTGCAAACAGTTTCTTTGACCTGGTCCGATGGAAAACCAAAATTCTGTTCTCATCCCTTTGATCTGAAAAACACTCTATTGAAAAATCAAATGTGCCTGCAATTCTCTGTCTCTGTAATGGGTCAAGGGCTTTTAGGCATTTGCTGAAAGTCCTGACAGAGTCGATACCCCTCAGGCTTCGTAATTTGCTGTGATGGTCTGGTTCCCACCAGCAGTGGCCAGAGCTGATTCTGCTGAAAGCTGCAGAGAAGCAGCTCCTCCACCCACGCCAAGGGTCAGTGCAGGATGGTGCAGTGCCTGTTGGAGCAGCCTGTGCACATCAGTTGGCCGTAGCGCTGACGGCTGCAGACAGAGCACGGCTGGAGATGCCAGTATGCACCAGCACGCCCTCAGGCACTCTGCACTGGATTTGGGCAAAGGGAAGGCATCCAGGAGGACAGCAGCAGAGTTAGCAGCAAGTATAGAAATGCTGGCACAGCCTTGGGTGCTGTGAGGACCGTGATGCCATTAGATACCCAGAGCTCAAGCAAGTATCTCAGCATTGGTGGATCTAGTGCCAATAACTTCAGATCAGCCGGCTGCCTCCACCATCCTGAGCTACCAGCGGGGTGGAGGGGCTCTTCCACACAGCTCCATTTGCTTAGAACCACCTTGAGTTGGCATCTTGTCTCTTCAAGTGCACGTTAATCCTCATGGGTAGGTGCCATCTGCAGAAGGCTGCTCATTCTGGCATCCTAGTCGTTGTTTAAAACATGTTACAGATAGGTCCTGGACAGGTCCCTTTGGATCCCAGGTGAAATACCTTGGGAGAAGATGGACAGTAGTAATCATTCTTTGAGTGAATTTTGTGGATTTTGTACTCACCTTATGGTGAGCTGCTATAGATTATATTTTTCGCTTATTAAATTGTCCTGTGCCTTGGTTCACACTGGGAAATGCAGTGCTGTGTTTTGTCCCTGTAACTGTTGAGCACTAGATCTGGTCCGTTTGTCACCTTTCCAGCGCATGGATTGGCTGAGCAGGTTTGTCATAAGGAGCCTGCAAGAGCTCTTCAGTCTGTTTGCAATCTTTATGGAAAAGGTTAAGGCAAAATCCACACAAGGAAATCCTACAAATTATTTGCAACCTTAATGGATACTGTTTAAGAGTTAAGATCTCTTCACCCTTCTAATTAATTTTTGGTACCTAATTGTATGAAGAATTATTATGAGATAGCAACCAATCTTAGTTAGTTCTGGGAGGTTTTTGGTGTCTGCCGAGATTCCTATTTTAGAAAGCTTCAGAGCGGCTGGATGGGACACCATTAATCTTTTCCTTGTTATTATTTCTTAGTCAGGTTTTTCTCGATGCTTAGAATTGTCCTGAATTTCCTGTTCAAGCAGGAGCCCAAGTGGTTGCTTTGATCATTGTTTGGTAGTTCCAGCTGCAGGATCCATGTGGAGGGTCGTAAGAAAAGGATGGCTGTTTGCACGTTTAACGTGGTAACATTTATGTGATGCTGTAGGATGACTTCATACAGTAAACCATAATTTTCCCATTAATATTGTTTTTTTATTTAAGGAACATTGCCTGAACTTTGTGGTGAAGGAATCACATTTTAATCAGGTAATAATGATGAAGGAGTTTGAGCATCTTTCTTCATCCCTCATCGTGGAGATCGTACGGAGAAAACAGCAGCCTCCTGTTCGAACACATTCCGATCAGCCACTTGACATCGGTAACTTTTATGTTCTGTAAAGTAATTAGTTGTGCTGGTTTTGCATTGCTAATGGTTTGTGTAGTCTAGGAAACAGCCTAGGAATTAGGCCACTGCAGACCACCGATTGGTTGGTGTAACTGTTGCCCAGACTGACACGCCGTGCTGGTTCTTTCTCCAGTGAGCTTTAATCGGAAGAGTATCCCCAACAAAATACATGGAAGGTCAGGTTAAATATAGCCCTGTTCTTCTTGCAGTAAAATATCCTGATTCTGTTCAGAGAGAGATGAGGCAGAAGGATATAAAGAATGATTCAACGAAAAGGCAGTGGACATTCAGTTTAAGTGGACTTGAAGGTACCAAAGCTCGTGGGGGGATTGCCTGCTCATGGGTTTTCACTGAAGAAGGAGTGAGAGTGAGGAAAAAAGAGTTAATGGAAGAAAGGAAGAGAAGATAAGGAGAAGACTGAGAAGATAAATAACCTGTACTAACGGTCATGCCTTTAATTTTCATTTTGTGGTTCTTCTGGAAGAAGATTTGCTTTACAATTCTATTATGGAATTCATCAAGGACTGACTTGGGACTAGTCTTATTCAAGATTTTATCATCCTGACACACAAAAAAGGGAATGTGTGCTGAGGCCACAAAGTTCAGAGGCATTGCCAGTATTGATTTGGAATACTGCCCAAGCAGAATTGGGGACTGGTGAGAAAGATGGAGAAGCCAGCCCTGAAGGAGCCTTTGGCTGGCATTTGTCCCAGGGAGGAGAGGTGCACCCTCTGGGGGGGTGGCACATCCAGCTTCTGTAGCCAGAGCTGGAACGGTGCGAGAGACCCGAACACCAAAAAAACTGAAAGGTGAAATTTGAAAATATGAGTGAATTTGGATCAGATTTGAATGTGCTCTATTTCACAGTTATTGTGTATTTTTAAAGGTTCATTAAAATGTTGACTAAAAGGAGCCTTTATTGGGGATTTTGGAAAGCTTTTCCATTAAGAGACAAAGTACTGTATTTCTTGTGTTTGGAAATAATGAAAAGACTGGGGAAAAATCAGATTTCTTTACCTGTAGAGAACACCTTTCAGTTTGGCCACTGCTGGTGTTTGCTGTCAGCAGATTGAAAGCAGAGCTGATGGGTTTGTTTTTGGGATGGGCAGTAATGGACTGCAATGGGGAAGGATGAAGCTCATTTTGCTCCAAGATTATGGGAAAGGTCCTGCTTCCACTCACTTCAAGGGTCCAGAGGGACAGCGGGGCTGAGCTATTGCTCAGCCAGGTTTGATAGCACCTGGTCACCTGGAACTGTCATGTCTTTAATGGTTTCACCGTGTTAAATTTCAGGAACGTCTTTAATTCAGGACATGAAGGCTTACCTAGAAGGTGCTGGCACTGAGTTCTGTGATATCATCCTTCTCCTGGACGGCCACCCCCGACCAGCCCATAAAGCCATCCTTGCGGCGCGCTCCAGGTGGGTCCGTGTTCACTAAAAGCCTGACGAGCACTGTAGGTGTGGGGCAGGGCTGTGCCGTCTGCGGGGCAGCGGGCGTTTTTTAGAAGACAGGGAGGAACTTGGTGTCTGCATAAAGTGTAAGATGCAGCTTTGCTCAGTGACTGTAATAAGCCTTTAAGCAACAGTGATTAAATGTTCAATGTGATACCCAGCAGGGAGAGACAGGAGGAAATTAAAACTGTAGAGATGCTCTAGAGGATGCGTAAGAAGCTGCACTGCGAGACAAGGAATCTGTGAAATCACAGGAAGGGGAAAAGGGTGTAAAACCTCAGGGGTTTCAGTGAAGTGAAAAGCAACAGATGTCCACTGGGGTCAGAAAGAGCCTTCTGACGGTGAACATCTATTCTGAATCGTGTGGAACTTGAATCTCTTTCTGACTTACTGATGTTTAAGACTGGATATGAATAAGCATAACAAACAATGGTGGGTAACAGAGACTAGTTTGTTCCGTACGTTGTCGCAGAGGCAAGTGCTTCACCCTTCTGAAGACAGGAACTGCTCTTTCTCCTCAGCACGCAGGTGAAGTGGGTATGTCCTCCACTTGTGTGCTCTGTGTACCTGCACCTTTATGTTCTGCCAAATATTAAGTGTTCACATAAAATTTCTATTTAAAATACTGTCAACATTTTTTTCCAGTCCCGGTAATAATATTCAGTCTTAGTTACTGTGGTATTTTACCAGAAGCATTTTACAGCTCTTGAAACAGCCCTGCATGATTGGCAGCCTGTAGATACCAAGGAAATTCGTAATGCTTTAAGCTCTCTACTGGGTCTTATGCAAATTCGATGAAAATCAAAGCACCATGTGTCCTAATTTTCAAGAAACAGAGATAAATTTCAGGTAGTGGCGATGGAAATTAGGGGGATTATATTTGGAGTTATCTCACAGGCAGACGTATATGAAACACCAATTTAGCAGTGGTTTTGCTCGGATTGTCATCTGAATTTACTTCTATGGGACCTGCAGTGCTTAACAGGCTTTGAACAATACTGGGTTAAACCGTCTGTCTGCAGAATGTGTTGCATCAGTTTTATTTCCTTTTCCAGTTACTTTGAGGCCATGTTCCGTTCCTTCATGCCAGAAGATGGGCAAGTGAATATTTCTATAGGCGAAATGGTTCCCAGCAAGCAAGCGTTTGAATCGATGCTTAGATACATTTATTATGGAGAAGTAAATATGCCTCCTGAAGACTCCCTGTATCCTTAAATTTAAAGTAACTGAAGTATCTGTCTAAAGTGCAGGTACAGCAGCTCAGCTTCCTCTGGCTGGAGACCAGCAGGCCCAGGCTGGGAGGGTTATTTGTCTGGATTGCATTAACAGGCACCGCATTTTAACTTCTGCCATGGATTTGTATTTGCAGTCAGTGCTGTTACCTTTGCTTTATGTATTTTTTCCTTAATGAGATAAACAGCTACCTCTTCGCTGCACCTTACTATTACGGCTTCTCCAACAACAGACTGCAAGCCTATTGCAAGCAGAATCTAGAGATGAACGTCACAGTGGAGAACGTGCTCCAGGTAATTGTCCCCAAGCAGCTTTAATTAGTCACTTAGATACAGGAAAGCCAAAGGCTCCAGTCAAGTGGGTGCCCCCAGTGCCAGGTTCACTGAGGCCCTTCCAAACTGCCATTGCTGAGACTGCACAAACCCCTCCAGTGATGGTGGCCCTGCGTGGGCAACACGTGTGCCAGAGCACAGCCTTCAGCTTTGGTTCCTTGTCTGCTCTTTGTGCCACGGGTGCTCCTGTGCTGAAGTGTCGCAGATACTGTTCCACAGTATGTTGGGCTGTCAACAGTATGGCCAACGGCATGTTCCTCTTGAGCTCCTCATCCCCCCGTGTAGACCAGTGTTTCTAAAGGGCTTGTTAGGACGTACCACGTGCTCAGCGCTCAGCTCCAAACCCCTTTCAGCAGACATTTGTACCAGGGCAAATGGTGATGTGCAGGTGACATGAGTCTAGTTTTATCAGTAACGCTGACAGGACCTGCTTTTGGCTCTTGCCCGTGCCAGTCTCACTGGGGCACTCAGGGAACCTGACTCTGAAACAGATCTGCAGTTTCTTGCTGATTATCTCCTGAGGACTCCATACATGTTAAATCCAAAGCTTATTTTTGAATAGTTCAGAAAAGACTCAGGTTTGTAGTGAAAAATGGAGCTGTTTCCCTAGCTCGGAGGAATTGCCTTCTGAGGGTGGGAGCAGTGTTTGTGCCCTGTGTGCTGGGCCGTGCAGAAGGAAGATGACATGGTTGCTTTTGTTCTAGATTTTAGAGGCAGCTGACAAGACCCAGGCCCTGGACATGAAGAGGCACTGCCTGCACATCATCGTGCACCAGTTCACCAAGGTTGGTTGCATCTTTTCTGGGGCTTTTGAGAGCTGCTGTCCTCTGTCACTGCATTGGTTAAAGACACATTAATACAGGAATCTGTTTCATTCTTTCTCGTGTGAGACAACTGAGAGCTGGCTGTGGGTCACTGACACTCACTGGCAGCCTGTGTCTGCTAGGCACACTTCTCACACTAAAAATAAAGGAAAGGCTAGAACAGCCTGGTCTAGAAATGTGAAGACCTTCCAAAACAGAAGTTACACAGAAATGCTTCCATTTCCACTTGTTCCAGCTGTTAATTTTGTGCCATGCCATCGTTGGGTTCTCATGTGTATTGCAAGATAAATTTGTTATGTATTGAGAGCACAAATCTGTCTTTCACAAGCATTTACGAGTGTGCTGTTCGTATTTCTCTTCAAGTATTCTCTGTCATAGATGTTATATTGTCATGTGCTCAAAAGCCAAATTACCCAAATTCCGGATACATGGGATGATGCGTTAGTGACTATAAAGGTCAGAGCCTGATGAGCTGATATTCCTGTCCTCGCACGAGAGAACCAGGGTAGTGTCATTTAGTTGTTCCTATGAGTTAGGGGATACAGTCCCCCCATGAGAGTTTCCCAGCATGTCACCAGTTCAGTGCACAACTTATTAGCATTGTTGAAATGGGTAGATAAATCATAGGAACTGGGATTTCCGGATGCAGCACACTTACTGATAATAATTCCCTGGTTGGTACTCAAGTAGCTCCCTCTCTTTTGTGTATTTAAACTCACAATTGCCGCTGCCCGTGGGGAAGGAGAGCCCTGCTGGGTCAGTTTGTGTCTAGAGATGAGGCAGAGAAGGGTGTTCAGGCTGATCATTAGATGCCTGAGTTGCCCAAGAGTGGTGTGTTCTGCATTCAGAAAGAACTGAAAAAGCATAAAGCAGAGCCAGCACCCAGGAACCGCCCTCCCCACGGAGCATCCTCAGCGCAGGCCACAGCCCCTGCCGGATCTGCATGTTCTCCCCGGGGCCCATGAAACCCACGAGTGGCCCAGCTCCAGCAGGGGAGGGGGACGGGTCCCACGGTGGGTCACAGGGCAGCCTGGTGCTGGGACATCTCCTGGGTGTGGGGTCAGTGCCTTACAGCCCCTGAGAGCTGAAATCCCACCATCCCACCAGTGGAGGCCACAGGAAGACAGACGGGTTGGTGTGTCTCTGCCCGGAGCGCGCTGGGGGGAAATGGCCACTGTGACACTGCAGAGAGAGAGGTTGGAACTGAAGGGCGTTCCTCAATTGTACTCCACTAACCAGAGTGTGGGGAAATGGTTTATATTTAAACTGTTGACTGCTAGAACAGTTTTCATCAAAATGCGGCTGGAAGACTGTCAAGCAGATGTGCATGAAGAAATCTTAATTATGCAATGTTTTTCTTTGAGAGGCTTTGGTGTGTGATTTTTGGCCCGGCGCTGGGTGACTCTATGTGTGGCTGGGCACGAGTGCTTGCTGTTCTGCTCTCTGGCAAGCCACAGGCTCTGAAGGGCTGTGCAAGCCCTGTGGGTCACCAGGGCTGGGACAGGGGTGTCTGTGGCCACTGGGATCTCCTGTTCTTCTGCTTCTGTTCTCCGTTCGGACTGTTCAGGAGTTTTCCCCCCAGTAAGAACGTTACTTGAAGAGCTGTTCCCAGAGGGTTGTTAGTTTGGGCAATGTGTTTTTAGGCTCTTGTGTGTCAGTGTTGTGCAAAAGCCCTAATAAAACTGCTGTTCTGAAGTGCTTGTACGGACACCCTGATCTGTTCCTCCGCAGTGTGGCTCGATGCTGGGGCAGGGTTCCCCCCTGTGTCAGGGGGGTCTCTTCCCGTCCCTGTCCTCACAGACCCGTTTTGGGGATGTTACTTCAAGCACATCTCCTGAGCTACTTCTGAAAGCGTGCTCAGCCGTGTCCTTCCTGGGTTTCAAAAGGTGCTCGGGACATCGTTATTCTTTATCACAGTTGAGCTTTTTTGAGTGAGGGGGTACCTTTTATTGGCTCTGTTAATACAGGGTGGGTAAGAGAACAGGCTTTTAGGCAGAGTCTGCATCCCAGGCTGGGCACGTGCGGTAGTAACGCCAGAAAAGAGGAGTTACTGCCTCGTTACTGGGAGGCTGTAGGGAAGGAAGGAAGGAATGTGTAGAGCTCCTTTATGATAGCAGTTGAGCTTCTGAACAGCCTTAGAGCATAAAGTTTGTTGTAGATTCTCATGTATCTGACGTGGTGGAGGTTTTTGTTGGCTAGTGCTCCTGTGACCTGCTTTGCCCGCGGGAGACAGGCCAGCAAATCCAGCGCAGGCACCGAGCACGACCGACCGACCGCTCCTGGGGAGCAGAGGAGCAGAGGGAGCCGGTCCCGAGTCACGCTCTCAGTAGCAGCACACGGCCTGCGAGGTTCAGGGCTGTGCTGGTGCCCAGCTTTGCTTTTAGGAGAGTGCTTAGTTGGCATCCATTAGCAGTAGAGTCATCGATATGAACAGTAATTACACTCTGTTCTCAGAGAGGTGGTGCTGGGGTCAGCGTTTCTGCCTCCTCCATTCCATTCCCGTTGCTCCGTGCCGCAGTCTGAAGTGGGGCTGTAGGCGCAGGACGCGGTGCCAGGAGCCCCTGCGGCTCCTCCCCTGCAGCCCAGCTCCACCGCTGAGATGTCAGGCCGTGCCCAGCCTCTGACTTGCCCGATGGGCCTGTTTCGTGTGGGGTGGCAGGGGTAAAACGGGGATACGTTTGGTTTGGGGAGGGGTTTAATTTCTTTCTGTTTTTTTTTCTGTTCTGTTTTTCTTTTCCTTGAAGGTCTCCAAGTTGCCAAATCTCCGCTCCCTGAGTCAGCTGCTCCTCCTTGACATCATAGAGTCGTTAGCTAACCACATCTCAGACAAGCAGTGCGCGGAGCTGGGCTCAGACATATGACACGCTTTGGTAACGGGATGTCTTATTTGTTCCTCAAAAAAAACTAGCACTTTATGGCTTTCTTTTTTGCCATTCCATACGGAGCTGCTCAGTGTCTGTGGAACAGCGCAGGCTCCAGAGGAGCGTGGACGGCTGCCTGGCTCTCCCGTGGATTTGCTTGGTTTGTACCTTTGTGGAGAAGGGCTTGGTCTCTGTTACGCAAATGTAAAATTGAAACTATTGCAGGAATGAATTAATTCCACGTGGTTTTGGGAGGAACTAAGTTCAGAATCAAGCTCATTGTTACTTTTATACTGTAAAATAAAGCAGTCATGAGTATAAGAGAGTCATTAATACTTTGAAACACAATATTTAAAGAATACTATTTAAAGAACTTCAGCTGACAGGGCCAGGGGCTCTAGGGGGAAGTCAGATGTAACAGAACTGGAAACAGAGAGCGTGGTGTTGGCAGGGAGGCTGACTGTTGGACCGGAGTGTAGTGACTTTTCGGAGACTCTCCGTGGCGTGGATTAAGATAAGCCCTTTTGCAGCTGCCCAGAGGGCTGGGCTGCAGCTCAGACCTGTGCTCTGCCGCAGGGCAGGCCAGAAGATTACAGCAGTCCTTTCTGATCATCAGATTCATTTATCCTGTCTCACTAAGCCTTTCTAAGTCAATTTATTAATAAAGAGTTAACATCTTCTGCTGGCATTTCATGATTGACTTTGCTTTCATTTTGGGAAAAATTAAGCAAAAAGAGCTCCGAGCTTGATGAAGGTCACTTTGTTAAAAATAAGTGTGCTACATCTTGTTACTAATTTTATGCTGAAGTGTCTTCGTTAGTCGTTGCCTTTGCAGGAAGGTGAATGAAGGCAGAGCGCCCTTCCCAGCCGGTTCCGAGGCTGCTGCTGCTCCCTCCCAGCTGCAGCTCCCCCGTCCCAGGCCCTGCAGGGGGGAGAGGAGCGTTGCCCCGGCCCCGGCAACTGAGCAACGCAGCCTGGCTGGGGGGTGACAGAGATGTCGGTGCAACATCTGCAGAGAAAATGGCTCCCCAGCCCGAGAGCCACCACGGCAGCCCCGAGGAGGGGGCGACACAGAAGCTGGGAACCAACCTCTTGTCCTGCAGCAATTGGCAGAGGTGCCCTGGGGCCGCTCTCTGCTCCGCTGTTCCGAAGGGCCAGAGTTGGCTTGAGCTGGAGCGGTGGAAGATCCCGCCTGGGAAGTGCAGCCACCCAGCCCTTGCCTTTCCACCCTGTAATTTTTAGTGCAGCTCAGTGAAGAGTTCCTGGTGCAGAACGAGATGTGAGCTCGTGTCCAGCATCCCGTTGCGGGGCGTGCACGTGCTGAGGGCGCTGCAGTCTGGAGTGGAGAACGCATTGTTTCAGTTCATCCAGGGGAAGGGCTTTTTTGGGGAGCACTCGAGCTCCCAAAGACTCCCACTGTCTCCGGCTGGTGACCAGACCAGAGGTGGCAGCTGCATCTGAGAGCCAAGGGCTCCTTTTCAACGGGAGGGATTGTTTCCAGGTGCCTCATAGGTAATGAAGTCTCATATCAGAGGTCGTGTTAACTGTCCCGGCAGTCTGTGTGTTCCCTGGGAAACAAGAGCTGCAAATGCAGAAATGTTTTACCCTACAACTTGTAAGAATACTGCGAGTTCTTCTCAGCGATGCTGACTCCACTAGAGGACACCCATGTCCCAGACATGTGCAGCCCCATTCCCTCACTAAGGAAGAACAGGCTGATTTCAACCATGCCACGACCAGCCCCTTGGACTCCGTTTGGAGCTTCTCCTGAGCCCCTCTGTGAGGAAATGTGCAGCCTCTGAGCAGGGGCACGGGGGGTGTCTGTGCTTTGGAGGCAGTTTTGGCTCAGTCCTGGCTCCAGTGACCGTTGCACACACTCAGAGCTGCATTGCATCGGCGGGATTTATGGGCTGAAAAATCACTGGTGCTTTTATGTTGTCACCATTTGTCCCTGTTGCTGTGCAGGGAGCCAGGAGCATGCACCCTCCGAGGGACGCACCAGGGACCTACCCCATGGGCAGGGTGACCCCCTTCAGCCTGAGCTGTCCCCCCCACCCCCATGGTGTGTCCCCCCGTGGGGCTCAGGGGAAGGACCAGCCTTCCTGTTGGGTCAGGGTCACACACAGCCCGAAGGGAATGGTCCCTCCAACCTCAAGGGTCACCCCTGGGTTTCCTGAGGGATCTTGGGGTGGTAGGTCCAGCAGGAGCAGCTGGTGTCAGAGGAGCTGGTGCTGCAGGGCCAGAACACACCGTGGGGTTTATTGAGCTTTCTGAGGCCATTGGGTGTTGTGCCACCGCAGAAGGTCCTTTAAAGCTGGGGGGCTCAGGAGCCTTTATGGCCCGCAGGTTCCTGGTACTGGTGGCATTAGGGCAGCCTTGGGGCAGTTTCGTACTGGAATTTTGGGGCATGTGCAGTTGCTAAGGAATAGCAGTGTGGCGTCTGGCTTTAGCCAATTCCTACAGCCTCAACCCCAGGTCGGCTCCCTCAGCTCCAGCTTTCCAGCCATCACTGGCCCCAGCCCAGGCTTTATCCCAGCAAGTCCCTGTAAGCACATGGCCCCACCTTGGTGCCCGTTTGGGTTTGTGGCCATGGCTGGCAGTGCCCGGCTGCTCCCCAGAGCAGGGCGTCCATCTCCTGGTTGACCACACCTGGCTAAAAGCCCCCCAGGCTGCACAGTGGGCAGGGACCCTCCTCCCCACCCCGCTGCTGGTCATTAATTCCCACAGTCGCTCTCTGGGTGTGGGCTCTGGTTTAGGAGATGGTCTTGGCCCCCAGCAGCTGCTCCCACCGTGGGTCCCAGGGCCCTGCAGCAAGGCCGAGCGCCGTCACCTCCCGGGGCAGGCTCAGGAGCCCTCAGACGCTCTGGCGCGGTTCAGCCCGCTGCCTCCCTGGTCCTGGGCAAGGAGGGCAGAGTCACAGACTGCCCCTGGGTCACAGGGAGCAGAAGCATGAAAAGAGAAAAAAAAAAATTACAAATTTTAATAAGGACACGTGCAGTGAGGAGAGAGGGCTGAGGTCCTGCCAGAGGGAAAGCCCGCAGAGGGAGCGGAGCCCAGGCTGCACTAATCCTTTGCCACCTCCAAGCCCAGGATCTTCTTGACGTAGTTCTGGACATTGACATGGAGCTGGGGGGCCGTAGCCGAGAAGGTCTCCATGGCCAGAGCCCGAGCTACCTCTGACCCGCCCCACATGGCGCGGTAGAGGGGCAGGGTGTACTTCTGCTTCCCCTGCAGAGAGACAGAGAGAGACGAGGTTACACCCCAAGCTCTGGCCCCGGCTCCAGTGGGGTGAAGCTGCAGGAACCCCACGCCCCCCCAGGTTGCACCACCTCCAGCATCACCCTGCTCATGGCTGGGGAGAGAGCACAGAGAAATGGGATGGGGTGCAACATGCCGCTGTGGGCAACTGTTGGCTCTGCAGCACACAGGGAGGGGAGAAGCTCTTGACCTTGGAGGAGTGAGCTCGTGCAAAGCTCTTGAAGTTCAACAATGCCAAGTGCAGAACCTTGTGCCCCATACCCATCTCCCCCCCACTGCCATGCTGTTGGGCACAGCCACTCCTGCCCAGGGACAAACCTGGCTGTGGAGAAAGTCCTTGACCTTGCTGTATTCAGCCTCAAGGTTGTTCTTGAGGACAATCTGGCACCAGCGGAGTCGCAGCTCAGCGTTCTGGGCCTTGGAGATCTTCGGGTACATCTTGCTCAGCCTCTCCACATTGCCTGCGAGAGGGGGATTGTCACCACCTCACAGGGGCTCTGCTCCAAGGGGTCCCTCTGAACCCATCCCAGCTGTGCTGCAATCCTCTGGGATCCTCCCAGCCACACTGGCTCTGGGTGGGAGGGTGCCCGCGCTGGGCTCCTGGGGCCAGGCAGCCCTGCAGAGCCACGTGCCCAGTGGCCTGGGATGCCAGCACGACCCTCCACAAACAGCGCAAGGAGAGGTGACAGCAGGGCTCCTCCCTGCCACTGCACGTGTCCCTATATGTCTAGGGACATGTTTCCCCCAGCTCTCCAACCCTCACCACATTGATCAAGGCTTCCCAGATACCAGGAACAGCCCTGCTGGACTGCAGTGGGGAGGCCGTGCACCCATGTGTCCTCTTGTCCCCAGCCAACTGGCTGGACCAGGGCACATCACCCTGTGTCTCCCCTCAGCACTGGAGCCCCGGGAGGTGACCTGGCCCTCACCTTCAGGCAGGGGGGATTTCTCCAAGACCTTATCCAAGAAGTAGACCAGCTGGTACGTCCTCCAGGCCGTGATGTCCACAGCTTCAATCGCCTCCACGTTCAAGCTGTCAGCTGCCCAGAGCTGTGCCAGCTCATCTGCCGGCTTCATCAGCTGCTCCCCTGGCGAGAGGTCGGGCAGGTAGGGGGGCCAGCCCGGCGTGTTCAGCCAGCGGTCGAACTCAAAGCCTGCGGCGAGGAAGGGAGGGAGAGCTGGGAGCAGTATTCTGAACCCCAATGTTACATCAGCCTTCTCCACGGGCATCCCCAGCACCAGCAAACCTGCCCGGGAACGGCGATGAGCAGAGACTAATGGGGTGAGGTTGTTAAACCACCCTGGGCTTGGTTTCTGTTTGTGCGGTAACAGCCCTGCCACCGCCAGCGAGATGAGCCAGCTCCAGCATGGAATCTCCACAGCAAGGCTGAGCTGAGCCTGGGGCACCCTCTGAGCCTGATCCCAGCGCTCGCCCGCGACTCTGTCAGCAAAGACTCATATCCTGTTACTGGAGTCACCCCCTGGGCTCAGCCGGGAGGGGAAACCCCATGGAACAGCCCCTGAGCGCAGAGCACGGACTGGATTTGTATGGAAAAAATCAGGCTGAGCAGACACGCGGCCAAGCCCAGGTTAGCACCTGATCCTGGGCAGGCCAGTGCCGCACTGCCTCCGTCAGAGCTGAAGCTGGGAGCAGCAGCATCTCCAGGAAAAAAAAAAAACACAAACCAAGGTGCAGGAAGGTGCCATGCTGACCTGGGATGGAGTCCACGCCTTTCTCCTTCAGCTCTGGGAAGTATTCCAGGAAGAAGCCAAGGGTGTCGTCCGCCGTGATGCTCTGGAACTTGAACTGGTTCACATAGGCCTGCGGGGACGGCCGGGGTGTGATGTTGCACACACTCGCCATCACCCCCCACTGCTGCCAAGTCCTCCCCACACTGCAGCTCGCGAGGGCTCAGTGCTGCCCAGCCCATGACAACCTGCGTTCACCCCCCAACAGGCTGCCCAGTCCCCTGCATCCCTCGGGACGGCTCTGACCACCGCTGCCTGCAGTCAGCGCGGGGTCAGGCACCACCCTTATCTCATTCCCCATGAACATCTCCATTTCCCACCTCCTCTTCCTCTCCCCAGCCACCCCTCTCCAGCCCATCCTTCCCGGGAATCCCACTGCGCTCTGGCCTCCTGCTGCAGGGTTTTGTGTGAGTTGGCACCTCTGCCTGGTACCTCCCTGTACTGACCTGGAGGAAGGCATCAAACTTGCTCTGGTCCCCGACAAGATGGGCCAGGTAGCTCACGAAGCAGTACCCCTTCTCGTAGGGCGTTTCATTGTATGTGTCATCTGGATTGACACCTAGAAAAAAGGAAAACCCTCAGGAATCATCTGCCCATCTGCAAAACAAAACAGCCTTCACATGCACTGAGACTGACACTTTCTGTGCTGGGAGCGAGCCTCTTGCATCCCTCCTGGAGCCA